TCTCAATCCAATAGAGCATCTTTGGGTTGTGGTGGAACGGGAGATTCGCATCATGGATGTGCAGCCGACAAATCTGCGGCAACTGTGTGATGCCATCACGTCAATATGGACCAAAATCTCTRAGGAATGCTTCCAGCACCTTGTTGAATCTATGCCACGAAGAATTGAGGCAGTTCTGAAGGCAAAAGGTGGTCCAACCCGTTACTAGTGTGGTGTACCTAATAAAGTGGCCGGTGAGTGTATACAGTATATATACGCACAGTATATACACAGTATAATTAATCTCTTGCAGCAAATGTAACGTCTCTCTATTAAAGCAGAATTTGGTGAAGTTATACCTTCAAAAACCTACTGAACCTGATATAAAMTGTATCACCATGGTTATGGGTGCAGTAACTCAAACATACGTCTTTTGCAGGGTAGACCTTCTCATTTCACAGCCGTTTATGCAGCTGACATGAGCGACCTACAGCCCACACTGACTGCAGCTRAAGTCGGCCGCGATGAATGTCAGCTGCAACCTCAGACACAGCCAACAATATTGGAACGCCTCCTGTTTCTGCACATGCAAATATCTCATCTCGACAACTGTTCATCTCAGAGGCATGGCATTTCTTTTGCAATAGGTACTGTAAATAGTGTTATCTAGCCAAAAATTATATTTATTTTAATTCTTAAAACTTTACGCCACAGGCATGTCAAGTCCTATAGCAGTGAGAAAACACTAGTTGAAAGAAGTATAGGTATAAAGAAGAGGTGTCTTATAGTGTAAAGACTGTGGAAAAAGGAAAAGCTTGTAAAGTTTTGTAAAGTTTAGAYCGCTCRGAAGTKYAACATTCTGTGGTAAAATCTTTAAAAATCATAAAACAAACAGTTTAGAATATGTATATGATATAATAAAAATATTATTATTCAGTCACATAAGGTCCAAATTATTTTGACCCATTTCTAATGTTATTTCTACAATCCGGTCTGCACGAGCTACTGTAGAGATGGGTTTTTTTCACTCATTACACCGAAATCCTGCTATGTGTAAAAAGTTTTTTACACATGTATTGATGTACATTTTTAACWAATTTTTCCAAAGGAGGAGTAGTGAATGGAAAAACTGAGATGAAAACAAAAGAATAAAGGATGAACAGTTCTAAGTGTGACCCTGGGTTTATGCGATTACACTTGCAATAAATAAGTTCACCAGTTTATGCCACTCAACTGGAACTCACTGGCCTGAGTGTTGTGAGTTTGACGCAGGACATTTTATGGCTCCACTTACTTGAGCAGGGAATGCTTTGGGAAACTGAAGGAGCCTTGAGAGATGCGGTCCACGTAGTTCAGCTGGATCCTCTGGATCTGCTCACAGCGCAGCAAAATAAAGTCATACTTGAAGATCAGGAGAGAGTTGTCTGTGATGATAACGAGGCGCTCCTTCTCATTGTTCCAGTGATCAACCCTGAAACAGACAGACGGTGAACAAACAGCAGAATTTATCAGGGGTGAGCAGGCATGTGGAGTCTGTGCAGCTCGCCAGATTTTTTTACTAAAAATATCTAAAAACAAATGCATATATCATAGAAGACACTATGATAAAGTAATAAACATTAAAGTTGATTRTAAAAATAAAATTTAACAGAATAAACCCAGTTTACTTTCAGCATCTGTTGTAGATTTGCTGCTTTGTTTGAGATCATTATTCTCTGTTTGGTCCTAGCTTCAGCTCTCAGACAGATGTCTTCACATTTGATCATCACCACACCACCACCATGCTCAACAATGGTTGTATTTATTTTTTAAAATCTTTATTWCCTCCACCAAGGGAGGAGGTAATGTTTTCGGTTACATTTGTCTGTCATTCTGTCTGTCTGTCTGTGGACAACATTACTCCAAAACTTGTGGACGGATTGTTATGTAATTTTTATCACAGGTGGGCATTGGCCAAAGGAACACACCAATAAATTTTGGTGATGTTCCGGATAACGATGCGCATACAGAAATCTTTCTTTTAATTTGAGTGAATAAGCCAGGCTACGCAAAGTGTCATTTTGTCAGGCGCATGTCTGTAGGAAAGAGGAAGTGAAGTCACAAACTCGCTGGGACTACACATTCCAGGATGTCTTCTATCGGGAAAGTTGTGGTTATTCGGTTATCAACTAGTTTTAGTGATGTTGTCTGGAGACGTAGAAAAAGAAACGCGATTCTCTTGACGTTACGGGAATAACAGGAGACACCGACAGCGGGGGGAGGGTCCAGCTGTAGTTGAGCTGAAGCTGGTACCGGWCAGCAGGAACAGCTGATCAACCATGTGAGGTACCTCCTCCACATAAGACCTTTATTGTGTGATTGGTCAGAAGTTCATGGGAGTGTTTCTTTGTGCTGAAAGCGCTCATACGCTGTGTTTTGCTTCAACCACTGGCTTAAAAAAA